GAAGATAATCATCAACTATATATATATATATATAGTATTGGTGAGTATTATATCATCAAAATTTGATGAATCATTTACAAGGAAATCGAGATTGAAAATGCAAAATTCCGTTTGATTGACGTATCAAACAAAGAGAAGGTGTAAGTTAATTATAGGAAACTTCTTTAAGCTTTGTACAGAACTCAAATTAATTTTAATATTTTAAACCTTACTGTACTCAATTGTTAATTTTCAGACTTTTGATAGACCTCTCACGTTTCTTCGTATTAAATTTGCGAAACCAAATTTGTATGCTTTTTTTTAATTATTTAAAACCAAGATTCTAAAAATATGTAATTATAGCAATGATTACGGAACACCTTTTGATGTCTATGTTACCAAGTGTTTTACTTAATACATTTTTTTTAAACAAAAATTAGGGCACAACTGTAACACCAGAGCCCATAGAAATGCCTGAAGTTACCCTACCTCCAATACCAGAAATTAAACCTAGTAAGTATACTCGTCCGATCAATTTAAATTTTTTAAGCTCAAATGAATTTTAAACTTCTAATTATTGAATATCTACCGGAAAAAAATATGAATCTAAAAAAAAGGCATAATTATATGAGTCTTCATATATAATTATTATATGAAAATTCTTCAATCTAAACGATTATAATAGGAGTACATTTTGAAAAACTTTAAAAAAATAACAAAACAGAAAACAGAGAGAAAGAGAGAATATTTTAAGTTTAATTCATGTAATTAGCTGCTTTCTTTCGCTCAGGTGGTAATTTTTTTTTCTTTTCCCTTTAAGCCTATTGAAATTAGAAATAAATAATAAAAAAAAACATTAGTTAAAAATAAAACCAATTTATCAGAATCTGTTCGTCCCGCAGTGGACTGATCGTTAAGACACGGTTCACAGCAGATCACTTAAGTCAAGCATCACTGGTTGAGTTCAGTGTGCTGGTGGGTGACACCACTAGGATCAGTCTGCGTAGGGACCGAGGGTGTGCGGTATTGATCCTCGTTAAACTGCTCTATCATAAAGTGCTCGACTTCGCGTGCAGGTTGTCGGGCTACCGAAGCATGGGTGCCATCCTCTCTGCAAAGGATCAAAATTGTGATGGAATATCTTCGGATCATCCTCAGGGATGTTTCCCAGACCGTTGCCAATAGCCCATTGTGTAGCTCTAGCGCGACGTAAATTAACAACAACAGAATCTGTTCATATTGCATTAGTTTAGATAGTTTTCCACTCATGTCTTTCACGTTGTTCTACAATTTTCAAATAGGTTTTGCAGAAGTCTGTATCGTGGGGTGCATGATGTGACCATGTTTTTTTTAAAAATAAATATTGAAAGAATGTTGATTACATATTTGTCGATCGTATTATATCCAAAAAATAGTTAAAATTTTATGGCTAACATGTTTTATGCTTAGAGGGGACTAAGATTTATTCATGCTTAAAGGGGCTTGCAGAGGGGACTGAAGATTAGTTGTCACTAAAGTGCCTAAAACAGGAGAGTGCCAAGTCATTTTCCTACTTTAAGATCTTAAGTGATAAATTATCTTAGAGATACAGGCTTATAGTTTGCTTACTATAAACATCAAAGTTCAGATTCTGTTAAACCATTATACTGTTCTAATTTGCCTCAATCTTAAATTGGTGCTAAGGTAAACTGAGCTATCGTTCTTCTTAAACTTGATTTTACGAACTCGGCGTACACATCATTCATTTTAACGCTTTGATAAGGTTGCAGTATATTTGCACTGTTGCTTAAGTACGATTTTTCTGAGAACGTACCATTTAACTCGCATATGAAATTAGTGAATGCACCTATATGTTTTCATTGAATAATAATTAATTTCAGATCCTTTATGAGATCTAATATTATAATTGTAATTTTATCCTCTTCATGATATCAATGATTGAAATATTTCTTACTTAAAATTGGTTTCTTATTTTAGAACAAAAAAGTGATGTAATTGTCGCTTGCAAAGACCAAGAGTCATTGCTAGGAATTGTAGCGTAAGTTAAAAAAAACTAATATTTTAAAATAGATATATGTTTTACTTTTTGTTAAAATTGAGTTTTAAAATTTGTATGGTTATTAATTGGACTATTTTAACGATATTAAATTATTTTTTCATTCGATTATTTAATGGTTTTTACCAGTGATACTTTTTTTCAGCAATGCTTTTTTTTATGAATTATGTTATTCATTGTCAATGCTATTCTTTACTATTAGTATATTTATTGTTTTGACAGGATGAGTAATCAGATTTTTCAAAAAAAAAAGTATCCTTTAAGTACTATTTAAGAAAAATATTTTTAATCACTTTCCAAATACATATATATATATATATATATATATATGTATTTCANGTCTGATAATTTCTTTTTATGTTGTTTAATACCTTACTATGTGTTGTATATTGTGGGTAAGTTTCATAAAATTCCATGTGTAATTTCTTGAGTTATCGCGATTTTTGTGAATTTTCCTTAATTTATGATAACCAGTGTATATATATATATATATTAAGGAGAAAGGTGGATAAAAAAGTATAGATATCTGCTACTTTTCACTTTAATTCTAGTATTTCTAAATTTTCCATAGAGCTTACCTATGCACCGTCGGTTCTTCCCCTACTAGTAAAATATATTAGGAGGTTTGTTTTTTTTCCAGAAAAAAAATGTTATTTATCAGAAAGTAGTGCATCTATGACTTTTCAAGAATGATATATTGTGCACAATTAAACAATGAATGTCTTTATTAAATCACATTTTGGGGGGGGGGGACAGTAAGCCTTTAAATTTAAAGCCACCAAGCCTTTAAACTTTAGCGTTTTAGCTACCCAGTCTTTAGCTTATCTTTATCCTAGTGATTGTCTAAGGTTCTCTAAAACATTGGACGCTCAGATGTCCAACATTCGTTTTTAGGTACGATTAAGCCATTAAAAAAAAGGAATAAATAAAAGATATAATTTTAAAGCAGGATTTATTTCTTAGTAATTTAGAAGTGATTCTTCAACGTTTAACATCAAGAAGCGAAATTTTAGTGTAACAAAATCTGCTACTTGTTACAGTTTTTATACCTCTCGATCAATAATGATTTACTGTCTTACGTTGTAAAATTATTTTACAGGGAAGCTTTCTATTTTGATGGTGAACCACTAAGACAAACAACTTGTGTACCGTATGGAGGAGATATATATGCTAACAAGGATCTTACCCTTACTAAAGATATAGAGCCTGAGGAAGAATTTAAATGCCCTGATGGATTTCTTATTTTCAGTAAGATTAATGGCAATTAAACATTTGTGGTGAAATACATTCATATCTCTTTTTATTAAGAAGTTGTAGGAGTTGCCTCTGCCGCTCTTTAGGTTGTTACGTTTATTATGTTGTTACGTTAGGTTGTTACGTTTATTACGTTTATTAGGCTATATATTTATGTTACGTTTTGTTTTGCTGTACAAAAATTATAAGACTTATAAACTTTAAATTACGAAGGTGTGTAGAAAAATGTGCAGAGAGTACAATGGAATAGAAATATTTAAGATTCAATAATTTAGTTCGAGAATTGTTAGCTGGTAGCTGGTAAACTAGGAATAAAACATACCATGCAGGTTGCAATTATTATGGCATTAAGGACTATTTTTATTTATAAACATCGCACGAAAGTTTTTTGTAATTTGAATTTGTTCGAAGTTATTCTTATTTTAAGTTATTGCCATTTTGAGCTAAATTTTTTGTGTGACACCATTGTCTTTTAAAATCTGTAATTGCTTTATTAAGCTACTTACGTTATTTTATGCCATAAAACTGATAATTTTCTCAAAAATAATTAGTTTTTCCGCTAACAAATCTAGTGGAAAATTTTGCGGACGAATAAAAATAAAGCTATATTTTTATATTTAAGCAACTGTATCAATCAATCAATAATTAACGCAACTTTGGTGTACTACGTGTCTCTTGGATGATGGAAAAAATGAAATGAAACGTAACATGATGCAGCTAACATTATTTTGACACCGAGTAGGAAAACAAAATCTGAGGAAAACATTTTTTCAAGTATTGTAGCCTATTCTTCTCTTTTGTAATCCAACTGTTGCCAATTTTGAAGCTGATTGCCGTTGCTATCTTTAGATATTTGAAATTCTCAAGGCCCATTCTCACTGCATACGATCCACACATTTTCGATCGCCGTCCACGAATAATGAGAATCTGATTGGTGAAATATATTTTCATGAGAAAAACTCATCAATCAGACTCTCATTTTCTCTCAACTTCAATCGGAGATGTGTGAATTGCATAAAAAAAGAAAAATCCAATTCTTCCGATAGAAAGTAAAATGCATTACGGTAATGTTTTTCCGAATAATATTTAGAGGTGATTCTAAAGTATTCTTAATTTTTTTCTAAGTACTAATGTAGTTTTTTTTCAGATATGACTTGGCATGTAGAAGATAGATTGTTGAAAAAATTCGATGTATCTTGTAGAGAGCTGAAAGCTGATTGCATCAAAAAAGGAGAAAAGAAAGATGTTGAAAATTCAAGCGTTAGCATGGAATGCGAGAATAAATCAGCCATGAGCAGTTTCAAAGCGAAGAAAAAATCAGAGCTTGATTATGTAGTGAGCAGCATTTGTCAAGTGCTGGATGTGACATGCATAGTACCGAAGGTTGTCCCTCCTAATTTTGGCTAAAACGTCTGGAGAAAAACGGCAAATTCCACAATCCTTAAAATTTCAAATTTTATTTTTAAATACTTATAGTTCAACAGTTAAATATCAAATTTCTTGTAGCAACACTAGAAAAACTCCTTACGCCAAAATGAAACATTCCGCCACAACAAAGTAAAATGTTTACTAAGTAAAATAATATTAAAATATATATCAAAAATATTTATTCTACATACTAATAATTTCACTGAAAATCGTTCTATTTGCTGATGGTTTTTCTTAAATATTAGAGCTTAATTTTTCGACTTTCCACGGAAATTTTGATTTTTAATTGCAGGTTGGTAGGTGCATTATTTACGTCGCACTAGTGCTGCACAATTGGCTATTGGCGATGGTCGGGAAGCATTCCTGATGATGATCCAGAGACATGCCATAATTTTGTGGGGCCATTTCCTCAATTTAGACATAGATCTGAAGGGGAGGGAAAGTTTCTTTAGATCATTGTATCTATGGTACTACTCAGTGACCGATCATAGGATTTTCGATTCCACTGACTTTACGAGCACGTGTATCACATGTGGTCGGTGGATCTTAGTGGAGTCGAGGATCGGACCGGAGTTAACTTGATCCTAGCACGCATTTTGGAGCCGTTTAAATAATCATGTTTTTAGCAATTTTGGACCGTTCCGCTCCTTGTCAGTAAAAATAAGCAATTTATAATTGTTAGCAAAAATAAGCAATACTCTCCATGGTTACGTAAAAAAGACGCAGAAATCCCACTCTTGATTTTCTCTCTCTCACGTAATCTAGTTTTAAGAATTTTAGGGTTAAATTCAATTAAAAGGTTTAACCGTAATTTGCTTCTTTATTCATTATTTATAGTAATGAAGAAAGATATTTATTTTATTTATTAATTTAAAGAAGTGTTTATTTATTTCATAAACCTTTCAGAAGATGAATTTTCAGTTAAGCCTATTTTAAACAGAACAATTGAACCATGAAATGATTTATATTAACTCATAAGCATCTATCTATTCAGATGATGCCCATGGTTAGCACAACTATACTTTCATTTTTTCAACGACTTAGCGTCGTTCTTATTTTCTTCTATTCGCTATGAGACTTAAACCACTTCTTTTATTTTCTTTCCATTCATCCATATCTTCAGCATATTTAATTGCTCACATAAGTTTATTTGCTAATAAGTCTACTATTCCTTAAGAAGTTTTCAAGGTTTATCCTCTGCGGAAATAAATCCTGATCTTTAAAACACCTTTTAGGAAATTTTTTCTTACATCGAAGTTTAATTTTTATACCAAAATGAAAACTTTTTGAAGCGTAAATTTTTAAAAGGAAGTTTTAGTAAATTTTATTTCTTATCTTACAATAAGGTTTGAAAATAAGATTTTTTTAGTTCTTTACGTAAGCATTGCTCATACCTCCTTTCTCTCCTTATCAGCAAACCTTGCATCTCCTATCACAACCTCCTACCTCAATAAACGCTTATGTGCTATATGCTTACGTGCCAAAAATCAGCCGGTAAAAAATAAAATAATTAATTTTAACACACCGAAGGGCATTCTGTGTCGAAAAAAATGTTAAAATTTTCCTTACTCCTTGTTTCAACTTTTTTAAAAAATTCTATTCATTTATTTATATCTTATTTCTTTCTTTATTCTGCTAATTTTTTTTCTTTTTAAGGTTCTGTCTCGACTTTTGCTTTTGCTGATTTTATAGCAAAAGGACCACACAATTCCAAATATGATCCCCGTTTCGCTTATCAACCAGCGCTTTTTGAAGATTGCCCCCCCCCCCTGATCACTTTTCGATAATTTTATGGCCATGAATTTCATTAGGGTGGAATTATTATTTTAATAGTTGAATTTCAGTAAAAACATAATGCATATTAATATAATATGTAATAAAAGTCGTACAGTAAATCTTTCTAACTTTCTTGAAAAGGGCATCTGGTATCCCTTCCATCCTTATCCATATTTTCCTTAAAGCTCTCTTAAATTATTTTCATTATTCTAATGAGATTAAGGGAGGAGAAGAAGAGTTAAAAGCTGGAACGTGTCATAATATAGCAAGAAAATTATTGAAGAAAAAAAAGAATTTTTTTTTTTTGTGAAAATTTAAAGGGTAAATTTTTTAAAATCTCCCTCCTTATTAGATCTCCCTCCTATTTCACCTTTTTAGTCCCTCAGAAGAAATTTCACGGTTAAATTAATAATTTTTTTCATCTAAATTAAATTCAAAATTATCGAAAAATGATATATTGTTGGGTAAGTTCCAGAAAAAGTAGGATGGGGCTGAGATAGGGCTCATATTTCAATTCTGGAGGTCGTTCTACACAAAAATCAGCCAGAAACTCGATTGGTGGCTAGATCATGATCGTCGTTAGAGGGGGGGGGGAGGTATATGTCTTCCGCAATACTTGGAAAAATTTCTACTAAAGTTCTCAATACTTGAGAAATTGAAGAAAATTTTCATGAATTATCATTGAATTTAACTCATAAAAAGTAAAAGAAAAAAGAGGTAAATCTTTTTTCAGATGTTCAGCAAATTTAAAAATTATTTATTTTTATATGTGACAAATTTAGATGTAACTGTATTATTGAGATATAACTACGTATGTTAACTGTAAACACTTATTTTTGATTGCCAGTTTTAAATAAAAATACAACTCATAAAAATAAATAAATTTAAAAAAAACAGGAGGGTAAAGTATTTATTTTAAAAAAAAAGATACTTACTTTGCCACACAACTTTTAACCGTCGATTGCATTATTTCATATTAGTCCACTTTGTCACCAAGTAAACGCTAATTTTGGCTGATATTTCTAGACAAATTTATAAATTAAAAAAAGAAAGAGGGAAAAAACTTTTTTAAAAATGGGCGAGAACAGAAAGTATTTATCTAAAGAGAAAGCTACTAGTTAATATTTTTATTATTACTTTTTTTAACTGTTTAGTGTGTTTTTTTATATTAAAAAAAATGAATTTGAATTTCAGAGAAAAAAAACTGAGCACATGAACAAGTTTATTTAATTTAAATTATTACGGTCTTTACAGTCCGTCTTTTTTTATTATCTAATTAATTAACATAATTCATTTAACTTTTTGCCAATAGCCAAATACATTTATGGTAACAAATGTAAGCATTCTCAACAAAGGAAACTTAAATAAGACATCGGTTAAAAATAATTATTTATTTAATAAACTAACTTTGAAGTTAAAAGAGTTTTCAAATACATTTACTGGGGAGGGGAGAGGATGAAATACCAGAGATAATTTCAAATTCATTCTACCAATCTCTTGACTAAAATATAGATGGCAGCACCAAAATACTTACTTTATTTTTTTGTAGATTTCTTTAATAATAAATAACGAGAATCTTCCTCAAGAGAATATCTTCAAATAAACAGAATACCCTTAAAATATGTTTTTAATTTCTGAAATCATTTTTAAATTTTAATTTCGTCAGCAAGAAATTTTCTTTGAAAAAGACATATAACTCTTTTCGAATTTTACTTACATCGAGTTTTAATAGATGGCAGCACCAATACACATCTTTTTACGTCTAGTTCACGGAAAATATATTAGTTTTTAAATTTCAAACTTCGAAAAGGATCTGAAAAGCTTTAAAAAGTGTTATGTTATTGTAAATTATCATTTTATGCAATATTTTTTCACGCTATGGAACTTTTGAAAAAAGCATAATATCTAATAATCTATTTTTTTGGACCAAACAGAGCCATAATTTTGCTATTACTACTACTGCAAAGTGAAAAGCTTATAATGAGCTGCTGTCATAATTTTTTTTTTTTTTAGATGAAGGCCCCTTTCCCACAAAAATGGGAAAAACTACTTCATTTTCTTGCTCTAATAATTTTTTTAAAATTTAAATTGATTTTTTAATTTAAGCGGGCCTTTTTCTGGTCGTGAAATGCCGGCGTGACTGGGAATTCACACGTGGCATGTTCGAAACTAGGTAAATGGTAAACCGTAAATGGTAAAATTAGGTAAACCGACACGAAAGATGATGATTCAAATTATTAACCAGCCATACACAAAAAATTTATATAGCTCCATGCTTTCGAAGCAATACATATGAATGTGATTAAATAATCGATTAATTACTTTTAGAATTATAGCTAAGCTATTCGAGCACTTTGTTCAAATTTTACATTTCGTCTTTTAAAATCACATACTTTAAAATGATGGCGAGATTTGTAAATCTTACGATTCAAAATCTTTCGAATGTAATTAAATATGTACTGTTGAAAATGTAATATAAAATTAATAAAATTATTTATTGCTCGGAATTTTTTTGAATAAATGAATATTTTAATTGGTTGTAATTATTTTTCGTTCTTCTTAAAAAAGTCTCGAGATAGGCGAAATGAAGTGAAAGTGACAAAAAATGGATCCAAATTTTTAACTGATCTACTACCTAAACTATAGAGACCATATTTTGAGTATCCAGAATCCAAATCCATCAAAAAAAGACTCGTTTATCCAGATCCACATGTGGCATGTTCGAAATTAGGTAAATGCACACTTTTGTATTTAACACTTTTGAAAGCACATTTTTGTATTTAATTTTTTGGTACGTTTGATTTTGTACCTTAAGATATCGTCCGTAGTAATTAATTAACATATTTAAGAGTTAGGGTTTCGGATCATTGAGTCCAAAAACTTAATCATTAGATGCGATCGGATTTTTGCAGTCAATCTTAAGTACTTCATCATTTATGTGAAATTAGATCAAAAGTTAATTCTGTTTGTTAGCTTTTATTTTTTGCATTGCTCACACAAAAAATGAATTACATTTAATTTTTTACCGAAAAAAATTATTAGTTTAAAACATGTATAGTGACGTAATATATTGATTGGAAATAAAAACTTCATTTTCATTAGTCCCCACACATGTTTCATTTCTCCAAGAGGGTTCACCAGGAAATATAATTATAAACAGGAGGTTTCATTTCTCCAGGAGGGTTTACCAGGAAATATAATTATAACCAGGAGGTTTCACTTCTCCAGGAGGGTTCACCAGGAAATATAATTATAACTAGGAGGTTTCACCAGGAAATATAATTATAACCAGGAGGTTTCACCTGAAAATATAATTATAAACAGGAGGTTTCATTTCTCCAGGAGGGTTTACTAGGAAATATAATTATAACCAGGAGGTTTCATTTCTCCAGGAGGGTTCACCAGGAAATATAATTATAACCAGGAGGGTTCACCAGGAAATATAATTATAACCAGGAGGTTTCATTTCTCCAGGAGGGTTCCACACATGTTTCATGTGAGAAGGAACGATGGGTACATGCTTCTTATTGGATAAAACACACTTGTTAATAGGGTAAATTAACAGTAAATTTAGTTGAATTGAAACAGTAACAAAATTAGGAAAGAATGTATGAATTCCATTTATGTCTCTAATAATTATATCTCCAACGTTATTCCTATTGTTATCCTCTTGTTTCATCTATAAGGTATGCTCAATGCTCAATGTATAAAAGCTGATAGATTCGAATTTGCAAGTAATCAAAAGCGGTTTGCTTCAAATGATTTCTGAAAGCTCTTAATGCGGTTGTTACACAGACCAGAAAGTTGTAATTAATATTTCACATTAATTATTCCAGTTTGACGTTTTAATGATTTGATATCTCATGGCTCAATGACTTCAATAAAGTGTACGAATTTAATGAGTTGTATTAAAAGCCAGTTCACGCTTGGGGTTGAACAGACTTGCATTAAGGTGAATTATGGGTCGTCTCGTGGCAGGTCAAGTGGCATATTTAGGTCAAAGTGTTTAGAACAAAAGAAAGTTGCTTTGGCCTCTTTGTGTGGCGAACTCCACCCTGAATATC